CCCCCCCCCGAGTGTTGTATGTCAGCATGTTTAGCCTGTGATTGTGTCTGATATTCATGCTGATATTCCTCATGGAATTGGGGATGAGGGTTTATTTGGGTCTGACTTAAGTTCAGGATGATTCACAAGGCCACATTCCTGGGAGAGACCTTTTACCGCTTTTCTCAGAGCAACTTCCTGAGATTGATTTCCCAGGTGCAGAAGTGAATGAGGGAGATAATGAAGGAGAGGATAGTGAAACCTTGGAGAATGTTTCAGGGTCAAGCGGTGATAGCTCTCCAGAGAAGCTAACACCTGGGATCCTTAATGAGGATAGAAGAGGACAGATTTGGGAAAGCAGGAGTGAATCACAGAGTCTGTGAAGGTCAAGCAGATTAAAAGAAAAAGAAACAAGGGCTTCAAAGCCTGGAGGCATGTCACGAAACAGTTTCCTCGGCTTTAAGTGCCTCTCGCTGGGTTGACTCTTTAGATCAGGCATCGTTTTAGACTGAGGCATTACCTTGGCAGATCTCCCGTTTCCCGTGGCCTTCATTCCAAGAGGCTTCTAGTGCTCCAAGTACGGTTAGTGGATTGCTAACAGGTTCCAGGATTTTACAGTGTTGCTTTTGGTTTTTGATCCAGTACATGGACATTTCTGATTGCTGAATTTTACTGTGGCTTTTTGACTGCATTTTCCTCTATTTTGTAACCATTTTTCATCAATAAAAAGGGATTGTTTTTCCTACAATCAAGTGTGGTAGATGGTTATCTTAGGGTCTCGTTTCCTGCTCTGGGTTGCAACAAGGTCCTGAGATGCAGGCGAAACATCAGGAGAAAATGCTGCTACAACACTTTGGCTGTATAGACCGGAAACCAGTCAACACTCCAGTGATTCCAACCACAGCACACATCCAATGTTTCCTGTCCTCCTCCTCCTTGTCTCTTGCAGGGGCCCCGCGAGGCGTGGAGTTCCAGGCGGTGAAGGAGCTGCTGCTCTCGGTCAAAGGAGTGAAGGCCACTCATGACCTGCACCTCTGGGCCCTGACCCTCAGCCACCACATGGTGGCCGTCCACCTGGCCATTGGTGAGCAGAGAAAGAGTGGGGACGGGGTGGGCTTTGGCCCCAAGGGACGCTGACCCTTGCCCACCTTCCGCACCTCAACCGCTGACCCTTCTTGCCCTCAGAGCCCGGTGCGGACACGGAGGCCGTGCTGCAGGAGGCCACCGCCCTTCTCCAGAGCAGGTTTGGCTTCTTCTCCTGCACCATCCAGGTGGAGCGCTACCAGGAAGACATGGCCGCCTGCCGCCAGTGCCAGGACCCTCGGGACTGAGGCCGGGACCACCCACTCACCCACCCTCGGCGCCTGCACTGCCAGCCTCCTGCTGCCCAAGGGGGGGGGTCCACCCGTGTTCGGCCAGAGCGTGCGGAGGAGCCCCCCACTGAAGAGAGGGGCGGACCGGCCCCCTCCCATCTTCGTGCCACATTCCAGCCAGACGGAGGGAGGCCGCCGACGCTTCCCTTGCCCATCTCTGCCTCAGTGTCTTTAATGTGCCTGCTGAGGGATCCGGGCCTCCAGCGGTCAAGGAGAGGCCGCCCTGACCCTCGGCCAGGCCGCCTCCTCCTCTTGTATCTGTCTCTGCATGTGTGTGTGCGTGTGTGTGTCATGCTAGCAGCAAACACTTGCACTATGGATGTCTTTTTTTGGTCCAGGAAGGGAGGTTGGAAGGAAGACCCTCCCAAAAGGGTGACCCGAGCGACCCTCTGCCCGGTCTCCAGGCACTGTCCACTCTTTCCTCTTCCCAGCCAGGAGCCCAAGCTGCCTTTTGTGTGTCACGCTAAGTAACAGCAAACACTTGCACCATGGATGTCTATTTTGGAGAGGGGTCCAGGAAGGGGGATGGAAGGAAGACCCTCCCCAAAAGGGTAGCCCGAGCGACCCTCTGCCCGGTCTCCAGGCCACTGTCCACTCTTTCCTCTTCCCAAGCTGCCCTTTGGTGTGTCATGCCAACCAACAGCAAACACTTGCACCATGGATGTCTTTTCTGGAGAGGGGTCCAGGAAGGGGTCTGGAAGGAAGACCCTCCCAAAAGGGTGGCCCAAGGGACCCAGGTCTCCAGGCCACTGTCCACTCTTTCCTCTTCCCAGCCCTTTCCCTGTCTGTCTCTGCAGCATACCCCAATCCGATCTAAGGGGGACCCCCAGGAAAAGGCCCCTCAACAGACTGTCCTCTCTGGCATGAAAATGCCTAGTGGTGTCCCCTGCCCTGCAGAGGGTTGCTGGGCCCCTTTGACCCCCTCTGGGGGATGGCAGTGGGTGGGGAGGGGTGGCCAAGCCCACCTTCTGGTAACCAAGCCCAAGACCAAGCCAGCCTGCAGAGGAATGCTCTTGGCATGGAAGGAGGAGGCCCCAGAAGTGTAGCAGCAAGCCCAGGTGTGCATCATGGGGGTGCCGGCCAGCGGCAGGTGGTCCCCTGTGAGGTGTGGTGCTCCTGGGCCCCCGACCCAGCCTCCCACCAACAGTGGCGGGGAAGGCCGCTGCAACGCTCTGCACCAGGGAGGAGCGCGCATGCCACGCCTTGTGTCCGTGACCTTGTGGAGTACATGTGTGTCTCTGTCTCGTCTCTCTCTCTCTCGTGTGCCATGTGTACCAGTGAACCCAATAAAGCAATGTGCCTCAAACCAAACAGCAGACTCTTGGCAGAAGTGTGTGGGAGGGGGGACACATGCTGAAGCCATATTGTGGGTGGGTGGGTGGGTGGTGGAAGCTCCAGTGGGTGCTTCTTTGTCTCATGTGCAGGATCCAGAGGGAACCTCTTGGGCCCCAAAAGCTTCAAGAGAACCCAGGGCAGGCTGCTGGGGGGCCGTGAGGCAGGGGCTCCCTGAGTGGGGGCTGCAAGGAGAGAACCCACCTTCCTGGTTCATATGATGATGATGATGATGATGATTATATCTCAATTTTTATATTTATATTATTATTATCATATCCCAGTGTTTATATTATATTTATATCCATTGCGACTAGGACGCAATGGAGCCAAGGCTTCAAACTACAAGAAAAGAGATTCCACCTGAACAGGAGGAAGAACTTCCTGACTGTGAGAGCTGTTCAGCAGTGGAACTCTCTGCCCTGGAGTGCGGTGGAGGCTCCTTCTTTGGAGGTTTTGAAACAGAGGCTGGATGGCCATCTGTCGGGGGTGCTTTGAATGCAATATTCCTGCTTCTTGGCAGAATGGGGTTGGTCCAGATGGCTCACTAGGTCTCTTCCAACTCTAGGACTCTATGATTCTGTGATCAGGATTTGTGCCTGTGGGGGCCCACTGGCCAATCCTCCTGCTCCCCCCCCCCAATTGGATCCCTTTTGGCCCTGTACTTAGTCCTCCTTTCTCCACAAAATCTCCACAGCTTTGATGTGGACCATACCTTGCATGAGCTCCTGGCAAATGGGCCGGATCCCTCACATCCCCTTCTCCTCCCTGCTTCTTTTTTGGACCCATTTTGCCATAATTCTTGTTGCTCCTGGAAGGGATAGATCAGTGAGGATGAGCTTCAGACTGCAGAGGAGGGCAGGGTCCGGCTGTAGGACGCAGGGCCTTTGGCCAACCTGACCTCCCCCACAGGATTCTTGGGAGGCTTAATTCCGGAGGGCCAGGGCCAGGCAGCTGGGACTCACTTTAAGAAGTCAATCCCAAACCCATAGGGTCACTATCATTAGGCACGATGAGTAAGGAGACCCAGTTCAATGGGTTTAATTGAACAAGTCATCCTGCTGGGTGGAACAACTAAGAAACGTGCCACACCCACATGAGGCTCAGTTTAGCTTTGAAGTCCAAGATTCAAATTTCCTGCTTCTTGGCAGAAGAGGGTTGGACTGGATGGCCCAGGAGGTCTCTTCCAACTCTAGGAATCTAGGATTCTAAGATCCAGAGGGAACCTCTTGGGCCACCCCAAAAGCTGCAAGGCAACCCAGGGCAGGCTGCTGGGGGTCCATGAGGCAGGGGCTCCTTGAGTGGGGGCTGCAAGGAGAGAGCCCCCCTGCCCATTCACGGGAAGGAGGAGAAGGAGACCGTCTACAAAACACATTCACTTTAATAACAACAGTTAAGCGAAGAAAGGCGCTCAATGTGAGCAAAGCTGTGCCCCCGAGAGAGGGCCGGGCCCGGGCTCTGTTCCCTGGTGCCTTCCTCTTCCTCTTCCTCCTCTGCTGGTCCAGCCAAAGGGAGGCTGAAGTGCCAGGGCTTCCTTCCCGTGGATAGGAAGGGAGGCCCAGAGCCAGAGGCGCAGGCCAGTCTGTGGCCGGACTCCAGGCCGAGCCTCTTCTGGCGGTGCCTCTGGTCCCTCGGCCCTTCACTCCCGCCACTTGCAGCCCAGCTGCTGGCTTCCACACGACTCTCTCTGCTCCGTGGAGCCCTGAGGGTCCTCTGCTGAGTCTTCAGCTGACAGCCGCGAGGGGCACCGTCGCTGTCGCCGCCGCCGAAGGACTGCCCCCGTCGGCCTGGGCCATGGCACCCACGTGGGCCTGGCACTCCCTCTGCAGCTTGTGGCTGAGCGGGGAGACCAGGGCGCGGAGGCAGTGCAGGCGCACCAGGCCCGAGTGGCCGCCCGAGGCCAGCCAGCTGTGGCAGGACAGGTTGGGGCTGAAGCACACCTGGAGCAGGAGAACAACGGGAGGGAGGTGTTGCGTCTCAGAATAAGATTCACCTTGCTCTCCACCACAAACCAGCCACAGTGGTGAGGTATATAGTTTATTGTGAGATTTCTAAAACAAAATGCAGTTCATAAGCAGTGAAAAGACCAATAGTACAGGTTATAATCCAATATAATCCTTATTGCCCATAGCAAGAGACTTAAAGCACAGGTTCAGTATAAAGTCCATGAAATCGCATGGAGCAATCCTTCCCAAGAACAGGAGCCGGAGCTAGCCATAAGCAAACGTTGGAACTAACAGCGAGAGCCCCCAAGCAAAGCATTTATTCACTAAACATCAAAACAGACAGCTTTCCCACCAAACAGATGATCTCAACACTTGGCCGCAATCCGCGGGCTCCATCTCAACACTCTCAACACCTGGGCACCTTGACCCTGATTCCCAGCGCCTGTCTTATCATTTGCATTCCTTTCCTGTGAGAACTGAGAGAGCTGCGGCCTCTCAGCAGACACAGACTGAAAGCCAACTTCATCATCAACTGTACTCTCAGACTCATCCCCATTCCCATCATTCCCATCATGCTGTTGTTGAACCACAACAGGAGGGAGGGGCGTCTCTGAATGGAGATTGGGGGACTG